ATGAAATTTGGGGGGAAATCCAAAATGTTAGGTTGTCACCAGGGCAGGAATAGAGGGAAACCTGTTTCTGTGACAACTGTCTCTATAAAGTATGTGGACGGCGCGGGAGCGCCACGGATACGGGGCAGGTCCAGTCAGTTTTTAATGTCGCACGACAATAGATCAGAAGAAAATGGCAAAAATGTTTTGGATGCTCCACCCTTCCCCTTCACGATTATTATTATCATTGAATCATTTAACACGTTAATGAAATAAAAATCATAATTACTTTATTATTTTGTTAATTTTCTTAAATGTTAATAATCGTATAATGTTGAAATCGGATCGTTTTGTACTATAGGAGACTTTTCTAGGAGAATGTCAATAACTGACTAGAGCTCTACACCGATCAGCCCTAACAGTGTGACCCCTGAGAGGTGACGTGATTAACATTGATTATATGGGTACAATGGCCCCTGGAAGAGGGGGGATATATTACACTGGCCCCTGGAAGAGGGGGGATATATTACAATGGCACCTGGAAGTGGGGGGGATATATTACAATGGCACCTGCAAGTGGGGGGATATATTACAATGACACTGGGGGGGTATATTTCAATGACACCCGGGAGTGGGGGGGATATATTACAATGACACCTGGAGGTGGGGGGGATATATTACAATGACACCTGGAGGTGGGGGGGATACATTACAATGGCACTTGGAATTGGGGGGATATATTACAATGACACCTGGAAGTGGGGGGGATATATTCAGCAGGAAGTGAACATTTTGTCCCTGAAGTTAATGTGTTGGAAGCAGAAACAATGGACACATGGAAGGATTTGAGGGACTCTGACATTGTGACGTGTAGACAACCGGGTCAGAGCAACTCCAACACTGCAGCTCTTGTGCGATGTTCCCGGTCAGAACCGACCAAAAGTGGCCCAAGGAAGGAAAACCGGTGCACTGGCGACAAGGTCATGGGCGGCCAAGGCTCATTGATGGACCCACCTGATGAATCATGTGGATGGCCGGGTGCGTCACTTACCTGGGTGCCGGGGAGGAAGCGAGAGGAGCTAAATTAAGTTCCACTTTTAAACAGATTTTAATTATTATTTGTGTAATTTTGTTGGTCAGCCGTCATGACTAGGGGGGGTGTTGAGCCTCGTCGTGGCACATGATGGCTTTTCTTGTGAGCTGTTGTCATGTGGGAAAAAAATGAACCGGACTTGCATGGTATCTGTGGTGCTCTCACTCTACTACTCAGTGGACCCCCCAAGCATACCCTGGCTGATGGAGAGCTGACTCTAAAATCCGGATCTAAGGGCCTTAAAGGAGAACTATGGGGTCAGGGCTTTTCCCCATAGTTATCCTTAGGGTAACAGGAGGACACAAACTAGCGTCCTCCCGTCACCCTAAGCTCAGTATATAGGGAGCCACAGCTCGCGGTATACAGAGACGCCGGAGCGGATCCCGACAATTATGTCTGGATCCGCCCAGCTGTGTGAGTGACAGCTGGCTCTGCCTATCTAGAGGCAGAGTCAGCTGTACCCGCCCCCTCCCCCGTCCGTTCCGCCAGTCAACGCTGG